CAAACTCATTTTCTTAACAAGACTCCAGGTATGCTAACACCTGACTCCAATTAGGTTTTTTGAGGTCAACTCAAGGGTTCACATACTTTTTCTTGCAACTGTATGTAGATGGCTACACTCATGTTTGGACTATCAATTCTCCATTCCATCTCTGTGCAGACTCACAAATAAAGTGGTGCCCTGGACCTCCTTATTTATCATGTAATCCCTTGACTTCCATGTTCTGCTTTTTTGATATTGAGCTAAAAAGTAGGTATGCAATTCAGGATTCCCTGAAGGCAGAGAGTACTTTGAACGCCTTTAGATTCCAAAAGTCTGAGCAGTCTAGAAGGGTGTTGATTCCATCTGGCTCCAATCATTCTCTCACATTTTTCCCCCTCTCTGTCCCCTCATCTCTACCTCCAAAACCTGTGAATCTTGGCTGGTCAGAACATCTGGCAAATTGAACCACTAAAAAGGTTAAAGGAAGATAGATCTGTGTGTTAAGGCTGCAAGTGACTCTATGAGGAACTGGTGTTTATTCTGGCTGGCTTTGCTCAGTCTGTTGGAGAAGGGATTGGAACTGAACAGCAAGAGAAGATGTTTCTTCATATAGAATATTTGCTATATGAAGAACATCTATATGAGATGGGAGGGATAGGGAGCAGTCCTTTTTCTGCAAAGTAGTCACTGGTATAGTATGATGAGAAGCTGGAAAGGCAGGTCTCAGACAAAGTAGAAAAAATTAATCTGTTAATCTGAGATAGAGGGAGAGAATGCATTTATATAAAAGGATGTTGTTTTCTTAACAACTCATAAAAGGGAAAGGGCCAGATTAATACCTTAAAAATAATCATGGGCTATAAAGGAATAGCTGGTGTGCTGATCAGCTGTTTGGAGCTGGCAGTGTCCATGAGTCCTAGAGGCACTTAGGAGCATGTCTTTCAGGGCAGAAGTGGCTGCAAAAACCTAGGTGGTGGTAGATCCTTCCTGGTGGCAGTGGTGACATTTGGCAACAGTGGATTGATTATTTTTCAAAAAATACTGGTGGGCCACACAAGGCTGCATGGTGGGCTACATGCTCTGCAGGCTTGCCTTAACTCCTAAAGAAATAACTGCTGGTGATAGAAGTTTGCAACCAGACTTCCAGGGGAGGTATGGTGAACTAAAAATGGCTCTGTGAAAGCGAAGCCAACGACTATACCAAAGACAAAGGAACCGGTGAGTAGACCGGTTCCTTGGAATCTCTCCGGATAAGGGCAGGAAATCATTTGCATGTGTTCTAGATGGCTGCTCCTTGTGAGGAGACTGTAGGTCAGCGGTTTTCTGTGTGTTTGAGTGCCAGAAGACAACGGGATTAGGCATCTTCTCCAGAACCACAGTGGAACCTTTTAAAGGACACTAAGTTCACAAACCTTACTTTCTAATCACTTTTGGAAATAGCCTGTTAGAGATCCCTGGAATGACAAGTTTGAAAAGTCTTCATCCAGTAAGTTTATCTTCAACTCTGAACAAAAGAAAAATTAATTACAAGCTTAAGAAGCTTCAAGAATTTGAAATAAACAGCAAGAAGTTAAATAAAATTTTGATCTAAGATAGTTATAAACAGATTAAGGGTCCAGATAAATTTGGAATATTGACTTTTACTATAAGATTTTGAAATTAACTATAAAAAAATAACTTCTTGTGGGAAACAGACTTATTTTAGCTATTCTGGTAATTGCAAGTCATAGCAGAAGATAAGTGATGATTTTAGAAATTGGATACTGGAGGGGACTAAAGATTTTAAGCAGAAGAAAAAAAAATACAAGCCTGATGTCAGTTAATACTGGGACTTACAAAATGATACAGAACACTATTAACATTGGAAATATTAAAGGAGTTTTTTGAAGAATGGAGCCAGAAGTTAGTAACTACAGTATTAACACTGTCACTAATGATGTCTGCTTCTATAGATATACTATGTCTAAATGATGTTAATGAAGGAATGACAAATGTGGAACAAATTTTATCTGACAAAATAGAGAAAGGGTTAGGGTTAGAATGTGATGCCAAAAGAATGAATTGGAAAAGGACATTTTACTGGATATAAAGAAAGAAACTGGGTGAAGTTTTAAAAATTAAAAGAGAAATACAAATAATAAAGCAAGAGAATGACCTAGAATTATTTTTCTTATTGGATGTACAAAAAAGGCTTGTTAAAGCCTTGAAGAAATAAATCTGTGTGATGGTATAAAGAAAAATTGAGGAGAAATCAAATCCTACAACAATATCTGATTGAATTAAAGATTAAGACTGTTAGAAGTAGAAGAGGAATCTGAGTTGGTTTATTTGATCAAAGTTAAAATAAGACATCTTTTTGCAATGTTCTGGCAATCCTTTTTGCTGACATCAGGGTTGAAAAGTTGATGTTTTATGGATTTGCTTATAGATAAGGGATGGGATATGGGATGAAGAGATATCTGTTTAACCTTATGAGGGTGAAGAGTTATTAAATTTGTTAATACTTGTTGTGATGAAGGTTGGAAGTCACTTCTTTATATATTTTTTATCTTTTTCTTATATTCTTTCTTTTCTTTTTCTTCTTTCTTTTCTTTTTTCCTGCAGTTTTTATTTTTTTCTTTCCATTCTCTTCTCTTTCTCTAAGTTTGGTTTGTATTAGTTTTTGCTATTATAATTAAAATTCTCAATAAAAATGATACTTTTTAAAAAAGTTTGCACCCAATCATAGATGGAGTTGTGTTCACTTTCAAGAATCGATACCTCCGTCTCTTGGGTCTAACACCATCTGAAGAAATTACAGATTCTAAATCATCCTAAGAACTGTGATATAAATTGATATTGAAAGTTAAGATTTCCGTTTACAGGTAGTCCCCAGTTTAAGAACGAGTTCCATTATCAAGGTCTGTCCTTATGTCACATTTGTATGTAACCCAGAAATTAACCAAAACATAAACAAAAAAGAGTACAGGGGAAAAAAATGCAAGCATGAAGGTTTTCAAATCAGGCTTTTACAATGGGGCTGCAGGCAAACTCAGACTTCTCCCACAACAGATTCTATGGAATGAAATATAATCAGGCTTGTGCATCAGCAGATTTTAAAGATAGGATAAAGGCTTCTGCATTCAAAGGATTATCAAATCTGTGAACTTGGTCTTGATTAACGCAAAATGTGGCTGAGAAATACATGAAATATTGGTTGTATTGATCTAGCAAGACTTTGACCTTTTATAAACAACCTTCTCTTTTCAAAAACTTCTTTAGTAAAATCAGGGTAAATTGATACAGTATCTTATTTTGGCTAGACCCCCACTTCTAAGGAGACTTTACTGATTCATGGCAAAATATACGTAAAATCTCATCTCTTGTAATAACACGAAGGAATTGCACAATAATGATGTTGGAGCTAGTTCCAGTCTTCCTTCTCATTAAAGGAATTTTAATCACATGATCAATCTCGACTGGAAAATCCATTCCCAAAGGGAAGAGACTTCTGAAAAAATCCTCCATAAATTCAGCCAGGTTTAATTGACTTGGAGGGTTTTCAGTGCCAGTCACACATAGATTTTTCCTATGCAGTTGCGACTCTAAGTAATTTGTTTATCCAAAATATTACGACTAGCTTGAGTTATTGTCTTGTGGGCATTTAATCAATCTTCATAACAAGCCATTTTTTCTTACATCAGTTTTAAATCACATTTAAGCTCTGCCAGAGCTTGTTGGATTGGTTTCAAGACTGGTATGTGAGGCCAGATCTCTTTTAACATGTTAGTAGAAGAATCTTCCTCTGCCATCTTACCTGGCTCAGCAGAGAGGGATGCAGCTGAAATTAAGCCAGATGTCAAATGTTTGGGTCTAGTTGCCATCCCAATAGCTCATTAAAAACAAAATAATACGTAATGAAAAGTTTTATTTATCCAGTTATCAAAGTCTGTCCACACAGTCTGAAAATGCAGAAGTTTGAAAACAACTTTAATCAGGAGAGAGACGAGAGAGGTACTCGCAGCACCATCACACCCAGGAAGAGTAGGATATATCGTGTTATTTTTTTTCTTTTTTCCTTTGTTGTATTTTTTCATTTTTTAAAAAAGCACTTTCTTTGGGTTTCTTTTTTTCTTTTCTTTGACTATGTATCTTTATGTTTTGTTCTTTTTCTTTGTCATTATATTAAAAGCAATAAAAAAAAAAGAACAGAACTAATAACCCAGAAATGATGATGGGCTCTCCTTTACAGGGTGTGTTTGAGCAGAAGCCAAGTCAGCTGTCTCTCGGGGATGCTTAATTCGGATCTTGTGTGGAGTAGGGGGTGGGTTGAAGGCGTCAGTGGCCCCTTCCAGTTCTATATTTCCAGAGGTTTGCATTTTATTGCTTTGGCTAGAAATGAAAGACTTTGATTTTTTTTGCTATATTTCCTTCTGTGTTCTTGAGTGGGGCTCAGCAATGATCTGGATTCAAAGGTGATTTGAAGTGTCACTCAGGCACTCAAGTCTCATCAGCAGCGGCACCTTCAAGAAGCTGCTTTAGCTGCTGCTGCTGTACAGTTCAGGAAAAGACGCCTAGAGGAGGCACCTGCATTATCATAGAGGGGGGAAGATTGACTTGTCCCAAAGGACTGATATTTTTGATCCCTAGGCAGAAACTTGGCATGCTTTATAAATTAGGCAAGTAAAAATACTGAGCTCCAGCCTGCAGGGGAAACTCCTTTGTAGTTCATTGTCAGTGATTGCCAGGTCTGTCCTCCACTGGAGTTTTTCTGCCTGAAATTTGTTTTTAATTTTTCAGATTTGAAGCTTCATCTCCAGAGTACAGACTATGGGAACTTCCTGGCAAATGAAGCCTCCCCTCTTACTGTCTCTGTCATTGATGACAAGCTGAAGGAGAAGATGGTCGTGGAGTTCCGTCACATGCGAAATCACGCTTACGAGCCTTTGGCCAGCTTCCTGGATTTCATCACGTAAGTGCCAGATGCTGCCGGGCAAAAGAACCTGGATCATCTGGCTGGCACAAGTCCACAAGATGGATTTTGTTGAAAGGCTGCATCTTTTGCTGTTCATCTACACAGGGAAAGTTTTGAGTGATGATTCAGAGGACTTCTAGGGTCTTTCTCACCTCACATTTACAACGTCAGTATGGCTTACAAAGGGTGTGTCCTGAGATCATAACTCTTTATTTTAGTCTCTTAGTCTTGAACTTCTGTGTTGAATTCATTGGAAGCTGAAGAGAATTTAAAGAATTTAAAGAAGAGAATTTTGTGACAATTCCAGATTGAGGGGGCTTAAGCCGCCCAACACAGAGCATTTGGTACTTACTGTAACTGTTCTGTAAAGTAAGAAGTGAATCAAAGGATGTTGAGGCAATGAGACTAGAAGCTAAATCTTGTGGAGAGGGATAGAAAATGCTGGGCTTGTTTAGTCTTGAGAAAAGGAGATTCATGGGAAGTGACATAGACTGTATGAGTTGGAAAGGACATTATAGGTTTAATTCTCTGGTCACTTGAGGAATCCACTAAACTATTCCTGACAGATGATCATCCTGCAAAAGGAGTCCACCACTGTTCTAGGCAGACTGTTCCATTGCTTTACGGCTCTTATGAGGTAGTCCTTGCTTACTGACCATTCGTTCAGCGACAGCTCAAAGTTACGATGGTGCTGAAAAAGTAGCTTTACAACCAGTGCCCACATTTATGACCTTTGCAGCGTCCCTCAGTCATGCGATCGCCAATACAGTCAGTACACATTGTCCTGTGCCTGGCCTGTGGGCTTTTCTTTTTTTCCCCCCCTTGCAGAGCAGATTGATTGGAGAGAAAGGGATTGCAAGAGAGTAAGCTGTTTCCCACTGCTGGCACAATTGCATTACTCTCGATGTGTAGAATAGTAAACTGCTTACTCTCTTGAAGTCTCTCTTTCACTCCAATCTCTCGGTCTGGGCTAGGGGGAGAAAAAAAGCAAGCAGTTTCTGTAGGCAGTCTCTTCTTTGCCTGACCCTTTCCTGCTGCCGGTGTGATCACATTGCTTTTGCTTGTGTAGAAGAGCAAATGGCTCACTCTCTTGAAATCTCTTTTGCTCCAATCTCTGCTCTGCAAGGGGGAGGAAGGGTCAGGCAAAGGAAAGATAGCTTACAGAAATCACTTGCTTTTTTTCTCCTCCCGTCCTCGCAGAGCAGAGAGATTGGAGAGGAAGAGATTTCAAGAGAGTATTCTAAGCTGTTTGTGTAGCACGCCGGCAGCTCCCAGCCCTGGGCTGCGGCATGATTGCATTGCTTTCAATGTGTAGAAGAGCAACATCTTACTTTCTGTTGATTCACGTGATTTAGTTATCAACCGGTTAGTAATTACCATGTTAGTGACCACTTTGCTTAGTGGCAGAGTTGCTGGTCCCAATTAAGGTCATTAAGCGAGGACTACCTGTATATCTAAAACAATGTAATAATAACATTCACTAGTTAATTTAATTTCAGTCCATTGGCCCTTGTTCTGCCCCTGTTTAAACAGATAACAAGTCTATTCCCTCATGGACATTTAAAATTTTTTTTAGACGTTTTAGATTTTTAGAAGTGTGTAGACTTTTATCCTGTCTCCCCCCTTTGAAAGTTAAACATGCCCATACCCCTTAATCATTCCTCATCGGCTTGCTTTCCAGGCCTCTTATCGTCCTACTTCAGCTTCTCCGTGTCCTATTGACATGCCACGCCCACAAGTGGACACAGAACTCCAAGTGCAGCTTAACTGGTACAAAATACAGGAGCACTATTGCCTGCTGGGTGTAATGCTTGTTAATGCAGCCCAAGATTGCATTGGCCTTTCTAGCTGCTGCTGAACCACAGTGCTTGCTCTCATTCTGCTGGTGCTCCTAGATTCTTAAGACAAGCACGGCTGCCATGCCAGGTCTCCTTAGTCTTCACCTACGATGACACTCTTCAGATACAAAAAGGGTGTCACAGAAAAGAAGGCCATGATCTCTTCCTGTTGTTCCACAGTGCAAGACAATAATGTTGATGCAGTGAGCTTCATTGAATGTGTTCAGGTAGAGGCTGGAGAACCATCTCTTGGGAAAGCTTTAATGTGATTCCTGCGTTGAGCAAGGGGTTCAACTTGATAGCCTCTCTGACCCGTCCATGCTCCAAAAGGTCCTGTCCATACTTGAGCACAGAAGGTTGAAACAGTCACAGAGAACTTAGTCCCAGAGAAGTATTCTCTCTCCTGTCCCCAGGTCCACACATTCCTGTGCAGTGGGAAGAGTTTGTTCCATTTTTGGTGTCTTCAGCTGAAGGACCTTGGGAAGGCACCTTCAATGGCAATCTGTTGTGCTAGGTGAACTAATGGTCCAGATCTGAGATGTTAGCTTCTTCAGTTCCTATGCATATATTAAGAAAGCCTATGGGCACTGGATTTCATGGTCTCCCATTGAAGCTGGTGAGTGAGAAAAGGCCACTAGCTCCAGTTGCAGAGAAACAACTCTGCATGTTTGACTAATTTTTCTACGGCAACCGGAGAATATTTGCCTATCTTCATTTTAGTTATTGAATGACTTGCACTGGTAATGTATCTTTACCTCACTACAGATGCCTTCTTTATTCTACCATCTGTTTCCACACACCGCAAAAATCAGGAATATACTTTCCACATTTTAGCTTGTAAAACCTGAAGAGCTCCTGGTGGTGGCAGTCTAGCTCAAGCCTGTTGAACTGCCAGTGTGAGCTGCAGCTAATCCTTCCTTGATGTGAAGGAAGAAACGTTATATGAACAGAATAGCACTGATATATAATAAGTTTTAAAAAACAGAAATCTCCAAGTGAAGCTTAGCTCCTGATGCAATTTTCTTGGCAGTGTTCCAGATGCTTTCTTCCAGGATGACATTTTTACTTGTCTGTCTGGCCAAGTGCCTGGAATTTTCATGTGGCCCCCCAAGTATTGACCAGGGCTGTCCCTGCTTGGTTCCTGAGGTCAGGTAGGGTCGTCTAGAGACTGTATACACTAAGTCATCTTCATAAATGAGAGATTTTCTTTTGTAGTCATTTCTGTATCATGAACCAGAAGAAATCTTAGCAACCTTGTCATGGCAGCAGTGAGAAATCCCATGTTTATGTTGCTTTTTCTTTGTGGCTGAATGTTGTCAGTTTGGTGTAGAGGTTAAGGCACCAGGCTAGAAACCAGCAGACCCTGAGTTCTAGCCCACCTCAGGCACAAAGCCAGCCAGGTGACCTTGGGTCAGTCCCTCCCTCTCAGCCCTGGGAAACAGGCAATGACAAACCACTTCCGAAAAACCTTGCCAAGAAAACTGCAGGGGCTTGTCCAGGTGGTCCCCAGGAGTCAATGCTGACTTGAAGGTGTATGCATGCACGTGCGCGCGCGTGTGCGCACACACACACACACACACACACACTTTGGCAGGAACAGTGATGAAGCCTAATGCAAGTGGGTGCTGTAAAACAAAACCAGGGAGGCTAATCTTGTCTCAGAGCTGTCCATTGTAAGGCAGGAATTGTAGCGAGGCCCCTCCGTCTTGTCCAGTCCAGCTACATTCTCTTCAATGTTGGAAGAATCACAGCAGCGGTGCCTGAAGAGCGGGGTCAGAAAAATCCAGATGGCAGTCCAGATGTACGTAAGAAGCTGGTAGAACACTGATCACGCTGTGGCAGCTGCCCTCTGGACCTTTTTGACCATGCCCTGCAGACACCCCTGAACTGTGGGATGTAATGGCCTGTGGGAAAGACCGTGGGAGACGGGCCCAGGGACGCTGCCAAGGGAACGGTCAGATAAGAGGCAGCAGAGCCCGCAGCTGGGTAGTGGCGGGGCAAGAGGCTCAGGAGAGACCCTCCCAAGTTCCTTGGTCTATAAAGGGGATGGGGGGAGAATTGCACTTTCAGACTCACAAGATTCTGTTAATGTAGCTTTACAATAAAGTAGAATGAGCTCATCTGGTCGTGTTTCCTGTCTGGTCAACCTAGTGAGGCTGACACTGGATTTTGTGCAGTGCTTCCTGAAGACAGATGCAGTGGCAGCATGGCACCACTGGTTTTTTTTAAAAGACTGGATTTTGTGCAGTGCTTCCTGAAGACAGATGCAGTGGCAGCATGGCACCACTGGTTTTTTTTAAAAGACTGGATTTTGTGCAGTGCTTCCTGAAGACAGATGCAGTGGCAGCATGGCACCACTGGTTTTTTTTAAAAGACTGGATTTTGTGCAGTGCTTCCTGAAGACAGATGCAGTGGCAGCATGGCACCACTGGTTTTTTTAAAAGAATGTGGCTGCATAGTGACACAATAGGTTACTAAAATGTACTACTCTTCTGAGGCCAGGAGACAAAATGCTGTGAGCCTGGCATTGTCACCAAATCATATCTCTAAATAAGTGCTTTGAAAATAATTTCCCCAAGTATTTATCCCTGAAATGGAAACATCATCTGTAGATTGTTTCTCCTCAGGTACATGAACACATCCGTATGCCCCTTAATGCTGAGCTACAAGCCTCTCCAGAATCGCCCGTCCCTCTGGGTTTATCTCTAAACCCTTCCTAAAGTGTGTGCGTGTGTGTTCATACGCACCCACGTTCCCCCATCAGTTTCTTTCCTAAGGCTCACTGGAAGGAAATGGTTCCACTGCCTGCCCTACTTCCTTTTCCAGGACTCTTGGCAGAAGGACAGGATGGGCAGACCACGATATACTTGGGTGCTTGGTGGGCTTGGTTGGCACTGCTGTGCTCACATTAAGGCTTCCAAATTCCTGGCAGGTGGGTAGAAGCCTCCATGAGGCTGTCAAGGAGATCATTCATCATGTTTGCACCGCACACGAAGCCATGCCTGTTGAAAGACCTTTGTGAGTCCTCCCTTTGTGCACCGTGCTGAACTTCATTAGTTTTAACACTCAGTAACCACATGAAATGTGTTGTGCAAACACAACCTTAATGTGATGGAATTCACAATACAGCAGCATCTTTATTAGACAATTCAGAGGTTC